AAATAATTATGTATTTGTTATTTGTATATGTTATTTATATCTCGGGAACATGAAACTATCAAATATACATAAATATACATAAATCAATTATGAAATTCGTAAAAATACCGTAAAATGTGCAAAAAAACCAGGTTTTATATAAATACGGGACATTATACAACACAAAATTAATCGATGAAATTTTTATCGCTCGATCTATAACCAAATATAAAATGTTTTTTATGCATAAATCGGAGATTATAATTCTTTTTAAACGCGAAATTAATCTTTAGTGTTGAAAAACATATTAAAGCATAAATACAGAAAGCAATAGGCATTCATCGTAAATAAAAAATAATGTTAAAATTTATTTGATTTAATCCTATTGTATAATATAAATAATGTAATATAAAACAGCGTTCTACAAGATTATTTTATGAGATAATTTTTATAGCATGCCATAAATTTCTTCTTTTGAGCGCGTCAATGCGCTTATTATGCACTTTCTAAATCTGAATTGGTGCATAATCACTGATTATCAATGATTGTTTATTGAATCATCAATCCCAAGTATGTCACTGGTAGTCAGTGAAATTCAACTTCATTGATTCTCTTTAAAATCAATAAATAACTTGAAATTAATAAATAAATAAATGAATAATCACTATAATCATTGACAAATTAATGGACTTCGTTGTTCTCGCTAATTGCACAGTAGATTCGGCTCTGTTTCACTTATTTATTAGTAATGCGAGGCGTTAAGTTAAGTTAGATTATAGCTATTGACTCAAATCAAGTGACTTTTCAGAGATTTTTCACTAATTCAGATTTAGAGAGCAAACTGTGAATAAACTCGATTAACGAAATAATAAAAACGCAATAGTCAAACAAAATAATTTTTTTATACAATAGTTTTATCATATTATAGACATAGGGAATTGAGAATTTTTACATTTAAATATTTTTTCAATATCTTTTTATAATTTCTGAAATATTAACAAAAATTAACAAAATATGTGGAAAGTCAGACTTTTTTTTAAAGATTTTTTCTTTAGAATTGTTTATCTGTAGAAACACAAGATTGCTGTGCGATTAGACTTACACATATTTTATTCCTGCAAAGTTTCAGATTTTTAGGAATTTTTGGGTTTTCCTTGTTAATGATTTTTTCGAAGGGAATATATCGAATGAAAGATATCGATGTCCTTTTAGTAAATTTTAGCATTTATGCAATAGTAGGCCTAATAGAAACGTCGAGGTCGATACATTAATCTGCAACCGTTTCGAAGTTGCAACTGCGCGGTCGCATCCGCCGACGGTAGTCGTTAATGCCGGATTATGCAGATCTGCGTTTAATTATATGGTTTGCAAAATGATGGATTTTCCAGTGAATGCTCATTACGCGTTTGCCATCATCATTGATCGATATTAATGGCGAGCCAATAATGTAATCTAATAATAACGATACGAATTAATCGGGTCTCGAATTATTGCCGATTCGTTACCGTCAAATCGGATCCTTCAAACGGGTAATCCCCGCGTCTTCTTTTCAACGACTTTCAGTGACGGCCAGTCGTCCTATTTGGATGGGGGATTTAATTTAACTTTATTAAATAAAAATAAAGTTTTCTTTAATTTCACGTAATTGGCTTTCCGTCGTATTGCCTTTAGCAATGAGACTGAAAAATACAAACAAAATCAAATTTTTATAATTAAAATCAGATAAATTTGAGGTATTTCTTTATGTCTAATGAACAAACAAAGAACGCCATAAAATTGAGGTATACAAATTAGTTTTTGGTCTAACGGAATGTCCACACATAAATATCATATATTTTTTGGTAAATATTTCGATGAAGGGAGGCTATTTTTTATTTAAAGAATTTACATTGCAAATTGAGATATTTAACATGGGCGAAGAATGTGAATGCGAGATATGTGTTTTTCTTTTGATAATGAACGGACCCGTTAAAGCGGAAAAATTCCGGAAGCGGGACTATGGGTTCTGTGAAATTCGACGGAATTTAATTTCGTGCACGGCTTGCGGGAATTAACATTCACTCTGTTTATTGCTTCGAATCGAGCCCTCTCCCCGGATCGGATTTTGTACTGTCGCGGCACGGTTCTCGATCGTTAATCGTCGTCCTCGCAATTGAACGGCGTATTTTGAAAAATGTGCTAGGCTGTTTTGGAAAATTGGAAGCCCTCAATCTTCCATTATCGTTTCGTTATCGATTTAAAAAAATTGCACTACGAAGAGATTCCGCAATAATCTAAAACGTTCCGTCGCAGCGTCCAGTTTTACTTAAATATCTCTAGATATATTCTTAAAATTTTTATTTGTAGAATATATATTATATAGGTATATTAATTACGTACATAATGTTAAAAAAACCGCGATAAATTTTTATTTACTTTTATTCGAAGAGATTTCACGAGGAGACCAGTTTCAAATATAGAAGAACCTACACACGAAAAGAATGATTTTGTGCCGAAGTATAAAAAAATTTAGATAGATACAAATGAAAAAATAATTATGTTAGACGCTCTGGTTGCTAGAATATCAAAACTTTTGTTAAAACTTTATATTATTATGAAGGACAGAAGGAATTCTCAAGCAAATAAGGATGTTAAAAATTAATAATTTATTAGATAATTAAGCGCAACGGTACGTTTCGGCCCCACTTGGCTTTTTTCAACCGCATAAAATTACATTAATAAACATTTAATAGGGTCAAACAAAGAGGCAGCTTAAGACCAGAATTAAAGAGCACAAAAATAACATAAGAGAGAATCCGTCGAAACATTCTGCATTATCGCAGAATATATCAAGGATTTCAATCACTCCTTTGATTGGGACAATATACAAATTTTCAACACAAAACGCAAATTCCACAAGAGATTAGTATCGGAGATAATACACATCAAAGAACAAACAAATGGAATAAATTCTCAAAATGATACGTACGGAATTGTTTGACGGATCCTATTTTTACTTGCTTGACATACTTGCCAATAATAACAAATTTTAATTGTTTTTGTCTTGCGATCTATACCTATACACTGTCAGATCATAATTATATATCCGTTTACAACAATGCTGGCATGGCTCACTTGTGTTTGCGATCTTGAACAAGTATAACGCAATCTTTCGACGCAATCTCTGGACTAATATCTCTCAATCTTTTTAAGTAAGTGTTAGCGTGTTTTTTTAGAGTTAATTGATTTTTTCTTGTTTATTACCCTCGAACGCAATTTATTTAATATTTTAGTTTACGGACTCTCGATTCTGTTGAGTTGACTTTACTCCTTCTCGCATTTAAACGATGAACGGGTTTACAGCTTCAATTTATGGACTTGGAACGATTTCGTCTTTCTATTACTTGTACATTCGAATAACGAGAATTGCGTCTTTTTAGGAATTTAGTTATGTCCGTTTTTTTTTATCCGGCGTACTTAATCCATGTAATTCTCTACTAAATTTTTATTAATTTAATTTTATACGGTTGAAAAAGGCCAAGGTCGAAATGTACCGTTGCGTTTACTTATGTGATAAAATTATTAATTTTTAACACTCTTATTTGCTCGAATTGACCGTTCCTTCTGTCCTTCGTTTATTAACCTAGGGCGAAATTTAAATATAATTTATTATTATGCCTGAACGTCCTACATACTTATTTTCATGGTCCGACGTAATTATTTTCAGATCTATAGCTGATCTAATTTTTCTCAATTTCGACAAAGCCGCGCGTTCTTTCCGCGCATTGATAACTTTTTATTGATTTATTCTGCGACACACCATGGATTCGCTTGACAGAGACGTCGTCTCGTTAGTCGAGGGACACGACGGTCGAAGAAACAATATCGGCGGAAGTTGCGAACTTAAACTGCCGTTTAATGCGGCGAGTTTTACGAAGTTTCGTAAGGGGACGGCGGGAAGTGCATGGTCGGACACGAGGTGGCTGCCGACTGGTTTGCACTTACTACTGGGCTGGCAGCAGCAGCCAGTGGTATAGTAGGTGTCAGCGAGTGGACGACCGGTCGAACCGGCGCGCGGCGCGCGCGGCCGCGCGTGAGTGTGCTTTCGACAGCTCTGACAGTTTATTAGTGGTGTCGGGACCCGTAACTGGGATGTAGCGCAGTTAGCGATTGCCACGAAACTTTGAACGTCCGATTTCTAACGCTCTGCCTCTCTAAACGTTACCGTAAGACAGCTCGCGTGCCGATCTCCCCGTTTAATCTCTCAACGATTCAGAAAATCGGACTTGTTAATTATGAAGTCGGAGTTGGAGATTATTTAGTTTCTTTCGTAGGGACACCTGAGACATGTGCCAGTCAATTTTATTCCAATTTGTTGCTCATTATGTCGCCTTTAAAAATTGTTTAGTAGAGATGTGGGAATCGAGATTTTTTTATGCCGAATCATACCAAATTTCATTTCTTTGTTCGAATCGAATCGAATCGTTGAAACATAAACTTTTAATTTACAACATAATTATTGTTAAGTTGAATGATACTGATAATAATAAAAAACAGACTGTTTTATTTATTAGCAGAAAACATGATTTCATAAGATTGTCAATTTACATATATAACTTGTATTCGAACGTCTTATTGTTAGATTCGAAGTATTTCGGATTCGAATCAAAGAGATTCAAATTCGAATCGATTTTAATCTTGATTCGATTTAATTCGATTTGTATTTGAATGGTCCGCATATCTCTATACTGTTTAATTGTCACATGGGAAAAGAATTATGTTATGTATTAACAGCATTGACAGCAAACTAATTGAAAATAATCTTGCTAATTTAATAACAATATTAATGAAACAAACATTTTGTTTAAACAAGAGCGTATTTATTAATAAAACATTATTTATTTTCCGTTTATGAAAATATTTCCGCGATTGTTATCATTAATAGAAACGGAAGTGTGAGAAAATATCTAGGCAATTTTCAGCAATACGGATTTTCTCTTTTATCCTGTTTAATCGGAGCAATGTATGTGTGTGTTTCCCAGTCACTGTCGAGGCAGCGTCCTCGTGAGCGCTCGCAATCACGCCCGGAGTCGCGCAGCTTCCCGCCGAGCACGATCACGTATATATCGAGAGCGGAACGTTTTACTCGAGGGCCCGAGAGCAGCCAGGATGAAGATGAGGCCTTCTTTGAGAGGCCTCCACCGCCACCGCCGCCCCTTCCGTCCGCGCCGTCATCTCAACAGCCGCAGACGCAAATCGATCAGGCCTCCAGCGCATTGGTCAAGGACGAAGAGGTCGGCGTTAAAATAGCGGATATTCTCAACAGTGCGCAGGATCGCGAGGGGATTAGTACCGAGGAGTTAGTCGGGTAGGTCTTATAGGATTAAAGAATTCTGCGTTAAACATTTAAAAACATAATTTAAAATTTTACTATTCTTTTGAAGTTTTGGGGGAGGAAGAAATTAGAGTTATCAGATACATATAGGGTGGTTCAAGTGTTACAGCCAATAGCTCTATACGAAAAAAAAAAATTACTGTTGCCACAACTTAATAATTGTGATAATTTTCGCCTATTAATTTAAAAGGGTATAGGAACTAAAATACTTTGGAAGTGACTTATATAGTTAATTGAACTCTCAGCCTCAATGTTGTAATATGCAACTATATCATATATGTATATCTCTGAATCATACTATTTGTTGTGCAAACCACATTAGAGAGATAACAATAATGCTTCGGTTAAGGCAACCACATATATGAAGATATTCTAACCGAATGTTATTTATCCTAAGCACTAATATTATGATAACCATACTGATGAGCATACCTTTACAGATGTCATGTAACATTATAAATATAACTTAAATTCACATGCATTTCTTTTCCAAACATAGAGAATATTGTTGTAACATCCACAACAATTTTTTTTGTGTAAAAATATTTGTCGTATCAAAAAGTTGTACATGAGAAAGTTTCATGTATTTGGGCCTTTCTAACGTAAATAAAAATTTACCTTTGAAGGGGGAGGGGGGATAATTTTAGATGAAACCTCTTATAAAATGTTACATATTTGGATACCACGGGAAAAAAAATAAACATTTAAAAAGTAAAAGAAAAACAAGTAAACAGTTCTTTGGAAAAGATATCTGTCAAAAGTTATAAACATTTAAACTTTAAAGTAGAGTGCATTTAAACTAATAATATAGAACCATAAATTAAATAAGAAAAACTTCACAGTTTGTTTTTATATCTTATTAAATGTTTGAATTGTTTACCACTCATATTTAAACACTTATTTTCTTTCTACAAAATTTTGTTTAACTTTAAACAACATTTCTGGGGGTCACGCTAGCTCGATCTTCATATGTTCTTTTCAAAAACCTTTATAGGTATTAACAGGAAGAAACATAAAATATGCACATAAAAAACAGAAGAAAATATAACACGTATATGCGCTTATACGTGCGATATTTGTAGGTAAAATTTCCATTTGAAATTATGAAATTACTCTTCCCTGTCCCGCGGGGCAAATTTTTGTTTACATAGAAAGATCCCTCGAATACATAAAATCTTGTCATGAACAACTTTTTGATACGACAAATATTTTTAGAGTTATTGGCTTGTAACACTTTACGTGGATCACTCTGTATATTTTTCTTTTATAATTTTTGAACAGCGAGACATTCAATGCTTTCTTTTTGCAGATTTGCAACACAGCAAAAGGATGATAGAACGACGATCGACGGACAAGTCAGACGACCCCGTTCGCTCACGAGGGACCACTATATTTCCAGGTAAGAATTCTTTTTTTTTATTCTTAATTGAGCTCTAGCGACAGAAAATTAAATATTATAGTCTCCAAAATATTGAGTCATTATTTAAACTATATCATATTTTAATTAGTATCGTAAAAAACTAAGTAATTACAACTTCGAAAGCTAATAAATAGCATTTTATGTTATAATAGTTCAACAAGCAATTCAAATATCACATTTTCTAATGGTTAATGTAACAAATTGGAAATAATGATCCCCCTTTAAGAGTCGTAGAGATCAGGTCAATTATATGTGAATTAAATGAAAAACAAGATCCTATTGCGTGCATTTTCAAGCTTTAAATTTAATTTGTAAAAGTTTCCTCGCCTTTGAATTCTCGCAATCCAAGAGCTATTGACATTTGAACGTTGCAAGGGCTACACGCGATTTGGATGATCGCAAAACCTGTTTCGTACTCGAACAAAAGCAATTCGCAAAGTAGATTTGTCCGTTGACCGACAAACGCGCAAACATGTACAACGAGAAAGAGATTACAGAAAAACAAGTTGGAGCAGGTCGAAGTACGACGCGCCTCCGGTGGAGAGTACGAGGGTGCCACAAGAGGAGGGAGTGACTCTCCGCGGCCGGGAGATAGCCGGGGCCACGAGGATCTCCCGTAGCACGATCGATCGTGTCTTCGACAACAGCAATCGGCGGCGATACGGGATGGGCATTGTCGGTCGCTTCTTCGGGTACATTCATATTTCATTTCTTATTGCGAAGTAAATTAAACACTTGTGAGAGTTACACGCCATCGTAATTGGAAATCAATTATCTGATTACTGTGTAAGATATAAAGCGTTCCGAGAAAGAGAGAAGAAGACCGTGTAATTTTCGCAGGGTACATTTTAGTAAAGTAAATTTCACTACCCCGATAGGAATATTGTGAAAACGTTGCACAATAATGGCATCATTATATGACAAAAATTTCGTAATAATTGCGCTAAGATGATTCGCCACAGCACAACAGTTTTGTCAGAATAAAATTTCTAAGTGATATTTGTCAAAAATTAAACAAATCTAATTTGAAATATAAACCTGTTATAATTATTGTAATATTTACAAATATAAAATTACTTTAATATTTGTCATAATATAATACAGCAATATTTGTTATAGCATTCTCAGACCTAATATTTGTGTTTTAACTATTAAGTTATGATTACTACTAAGTTAACTATTAAATATTTACTGTTTGATTCTTCTTTTTAAATTTTATCACGCTAAATAAATAATATTTCGTGTTTTAATATTTTTACATTAGAATTTAGGAATAATTGTGCTATATTTGTCGCTAAAATGATTCGCCATATTATTACTGTTTTGTCGAAATACTATTTTGAAATAAATTGCACAAACAATTATTAAGATTTTATAAAAGTAATCAGTACTATTACGTCTGTTTTTGTAAATATATCTATATAATTGCAGAATACAAATTTTCTACAAGATTTCGATATAATTTTATAAATACTTTCCTTTCGGGGTAATTAATCCACTGCACTATTCTATATATTAAGTTGTGACGTTATTATGCAATAATAAGTTAATAGTTAGACCGATTTACATGATTAAATCAAATGAGCAAAAAAGTTTGCATTGTTATTAAATGAACAATCGATTTAATTTGTGATATTAAATATTGTTAGATACCAAGATCTAGCCTCGATCTCGTATTATAATTTTATATTACTTATGTAACTAACATATTTTTACATATCAAATACAGATTATAATATATAACTGCAATAGTACAGCAATATTTTAACATTTCTGCAACATACCTGGAATGTTACAATGTTGCTGCAACATTGCAGTACAATCTGTGTTTGTTGGGTATGTAATTTTATGCGATATTATATTAACACTGTTCTAGCCCAGAAATGATTAGTTGAATCGACGTCAATTTTTCGAGCTAAACATTTCCGGCTGGGATACATTCGTAGTAAAATTTATTATCGGAACATATCCGCATGTACCGCAGACAGTTATCATAGAGAAAGCGTTTTGTTCATTGACAAAAGCGAGATCTGTGGCGAGATCATGGCAAACGAAACGTACTAAAGGGAATAAGGGCTCGGTGAATTATTAAAGTTTTTCTATATTTCCTCCATTACTTCCAGGCGATCTTTTCGGAAAAGCGTCGCGCACAAACCGGACATAAAGAAGCAGTTGGACAATTTCGAGGATCACCGACCGTATTTCACGTACTGGATCACTACTGTGCAAGTATTGATTTTGATAATATCGCTGGCGTGTTACGGATTTGGTCCCGTCGGGATGGATCTTACTCATCGATCTGGATTGGTGAGTAGATAGAAATTATGTCACTGTCTATTTTTTACCAGTTATTTTTATTATTGTTATTCACTTTTTAAAGGTTTTGTTTGAAATTTTATTATTAATTTTATTAGAAAACTAATAAAATCTTAAGCTAAGAATAAATTTAAACAATTTTTATATGTGCACAATAGAAGATGAAACTTTTTCTTAACGTTGAATCAAAGCGAATTGAAGAGCTTGTTATGCAACAGTGAGCTTAGCACATTTTATGATATTTTATAAAAACAGAGAAAATAAACTCTAAAGTTCGTCACTTTAATTTTAGAGTTCATTTTCGTTGTTGTTACAAAACTCGTTGTTACAAAACACTGTTGCACAAGTTCTTCAATTATGTTGAAATTATTTTAGATTACTTTGTAGAATAATAAGAAGTGACTTGTCACTTTAAGCTATAATAATCTCTTTGTCTTATAATTATAATACAATAATACCTTTAATCTTTATTTACGACAAAATTTTGTATTTTTAAATAGCCCTAACTTTCCCAGAAAAAAATTTTTTAAATTCTTTACATAATATTTTAGAATATCTACATTATAAATTTCAGAATTCTTTAAAATTTCTGTATAATTTTAATCTTTTATTTCTCTAATTTTTTATAGATTTTTGTATAGATATAAATTGGAATGCTTTTCAAAGATGTTGAGAAAATCTGCAATCTTTTTTAGAATAGCTTTATATATGTGAATTTTGAAATATTTTAAGATTCTCATTTTGTAATTTCTGACAAAAACTTATAAAGTCTGAAAAAATTAAGTAATTTTTTCAGAAACTTTTATAAGTTCAAAATATAAAAAATTCTAGAAATACTATGAGAGGTATTATGAGAATTTTTTTCACCAGGATGTACTAGAATTTGCGCTAGTATAAAATATTTTAAGTTGTATTTAAATGTTTAATCATTGTTTCTGTTTGTTTAATAAAAAATGAAAGGGATTCTCGGTGAGGGTTGAGCAGGGATTGAGAAAATGGAATTGAATTTTGTCCAGGTTCTCGTAACAAGTCTGTCGTTACAACAAGTCGACTATCAGGAACCCGCGAACTTCTGGCTGGGCCCTAGGGCCGCTGATCTGATCCACCTTGGCGCCAAGTTCGCACCGTGTATGCGTCGGGACATCAAGATCCTGAAGGAGATCGACGTGTGGCGGGAAAGAGAGCGGGATACCGCATGCTGCATCAGGAATGACGATTCTGGCTGCGTACAGTCCAGCAAAGCAGATTGTTCTGTAAGTTTTCCAGCGTTTTTTTTTATCTCGAGATGGCACTTGCAATATCCTGCCGGCTCTTCATGGCCATGTATGCTCATGACAATAAAATTTTCTTCCATGCGCGCCCAACAGGTCCGGGGATTGAGATCCACTGCTATGGTAAATTACGTAATTTTTACTTCGATTCTTTAGCCCCAGAAAATGCACTTGAGTGAAAAGGAGAGAACAGAATATTTTTAATTTATTACCAGCATTGCAATTTTTCATTATTTGAAATTTCTTCGGTATAAACACAAACATGAATTTTCTGTTTTATTTGTCAATCTCAATTTAATGAACAAGAGAAGCTTTTAAGGTGTTATAATTTCTGCTATATAATTTATTTTGCTAATAAACTGCGCACATTACGACTTTTATTATAACTTTATGCATGTTTCAATCTAAAAGATTGGTGTCCAATGTAATATTTTAAAGTCTCAAAAGTCCTCCCTTCTCTGACAATTCAATCTTAATTGCGATTATGTTGAACCTCGCAGAATACAATATCGACCTGGAAGAAATGGGGATCATCTGGGGAGAGCGGGCCTGGCGGCCGCATCAGTGGGTCAGTTTGCGGATTAGATCCGAAGTTCTGCGACGCCCCGGCGAGCATCGCGCCTTACGAATGGCCGGACGACATCACCAAGTGGCCAATCTGCCGGAAAACCAATCCCTTTAGCCAACGCTTTAGGTGAGCTTTATCTATCAAATTATGGAGATAAGAAATAACAGGAGGGAGCATATTCCCCCGCGGCCTGGCTAAGCAGACGTAAGGGGGGAACATTACAAAACGCCATATTACTGTGGCCAACCAATCACATTTGGCGTAGTAATCCCGAACTCCAATAAAGTTTGTATAAAACGCCATATTACTGTAGCCAATCAATCACATTCGGCATAGTAATCCCCACCAACAAAAAGGTCTTACACTCCCTCCTGTTATTTCTTACCTCCATGTATCAAATGCATTTTATTCACGAGTCCTTCAAGATATAAATGACAAAATATCTCTATGCGAAATAAAGTTGTATTTATATTTGAGGAAATAAGCTTTTGTGAGAATCACGCAAAAATTAAGATGGTTATAAAGAAAGGAAAAGGAAAAAGAAATGAAAAATTCTCTACAGCAAAAACGGGGGTCAACGGGGCAACGCCAACTTTCCCATCGGCCGTTATAAGGACAAGATGGCGGAGCATATGGTGTGCGAGGTAATTGGCCACCCGTGTTGCATCGGAATTCACGGGATGTGCCGGATCACCACGAAGGAATACTGCGATTTCGTTCACGGTTACTTTCACGAGGAAGCGTCCCTGTGCTCCCAGGTGGAGTGTTTGCACGATGTCTGCGGAATGATACCGTTCCTACATCCAGAATGGCCGGACCAGTTCTACAGACTCTTCACCACCATCTTTCTTCATGCCGGGTAATAGTTCGCAAATAAAAAAATCGAGTTTTTATTAATCTTTGTTTTTATTAATCTTTTATTAAAATGACAAATACAAAATCGAGTTTTTCTATTAATTTTATTAAATTTATCTCAAAGAAGCAAAATGTGCAATTGATTTCATGTGTTCATTTAATTGTAAAATTTATACTTTCCACCAAGTGAATCAAAAAGAAATTTCCAGAACAGTTTATTTCAGTAAATTACATCGCAATAAGCAAAACCAATTTGCCGTTAAATTTAGTTAAAAAGTTCACTATTCATTTATTTCTGTTGAAACTTAATAAAATAAAGCCAACCGATTAGTCTGAATAAATTAATTTAAAAAAAAAAACAGAATTCTCGATTTGTGTGTTTATTCCCATATAAATTGGTTTTTCAGAATCGTCCATTTGATAATTACGTTGCTGATCCAATATTTTCTGATGAGAGATTTGGAAAAACTGACTGGCTCGTTGCGCATCGCTTTGATCTACTTTATTGGTGCTCTTGCTGGGAATTTGGCCAGCGCAATTTTTGTCCCTTACAGGGCAGAAGTAAGTATTTAAACTCTATATATGTATTATTATTAATAATTATTTTATAATAAAGAACACAATTGTCAGTAATAAAGAACAAATTATTCATAAACGAATTACTAGTAATAAAGAGAGGACATAATTATTTATAAAAAAATTTCTTTTATTATATTTTAATATAATTAATCTAGACAATATACATAAAACTTGTTATAAAATGATAACTGAAATTATAACTATTTGTTATAAAATAATGACTATTTATAAATATTTTATAAAAATTAAATTATATTTTTATTTTAAATGTGAAAGCGCCTTAATTCTTATACGATCACGATCTGGATCTTGGTGCTCAATAATATTTCTGTATGCATTTTTCCATTATTCAGCCATTTAAACTAATTTCTTCAGTGTTTACAAGATACTGATTCACATCAATTATTAAAATTTGGAGGTTATTTGTGATCTCTATTCCATCTTTAGCTAATGATTGCGTTGCAAATTCGATATTGATTCGGCGCGCAGTTTAAAGTTATGGCTAAATAATGGATTTAAAAATGTCTACAGAAATATTAGATCCAAGATTCAGCTGCCGTGACTGTAGAAGGCGCTGTTAAATTTATTTGTGATATTCACTTACATGGTCTAGTTCAAATTAATATTGTTTATATATTTTTATTGTTCTTATCAATATAAAACAGTACAAAAAATACAAACTTTGTCTCTTTGTTTGAAGAAAATTAATTCATTTGTATTTATTAAATTATGAATTAAATATTACGTTATCTGTATATACAACTGTTTTCTGTTTAGCTATCAAGATTACGTATTATTTATTAACAATATTTATGGGCAATTGTCTGTCTAATATTGAAATGTTGCTATAAAATCGCTCTTTTACTTTTTCTCTTTTTCTCTTATTTCTTCCTATAATATATAAAACGCAATAATTCTTTTACTCTATTAACTAATGCCTATAGAAGTTCGTCACTTTTGAACGTGTGCATATTTAACAATATAGTCACCAATACTGTCCATCTTGTTTACAGGTTGGTCCAGCTGGCGCACATTTCGCTCTGCTTGCCACGCTAGTGGTCGAAGTGCTGCATTGCTGGCCGATGCTGAAGCATCCGCGTCGCGCACTGTCCAAGCTGATCCTGATCTTGCTGGGGCTGCTGACGCTGGGTATCCTGCCGTGGATAGACAACTATGCACATCTGTTCGGCTTCATCTTCGGCTTCTTGGCGGCCTACGCGCTAATGCCGTTTATCTCGTTCGGCCATTACGACCGTAGGCGGAAGATCCTGCTGATCTGGGCCTGCCTGATCCTAATTGTGGGCCTATTCGCCCTGCTGCTCGCCCTCTTTTACAACGTGCCGGTGTACGAGTGTGAGGTGTGCAAACTGTTCAATTGCGTGCCGTTCACCCGCGACTTTTGCGCCTCCCAGAACATCAATTTCAAGCGGGAGGAGCCGGTATGACACACGGGGCCGCGGTTCACAGTCGAGCGCGAAATTGTTCCGCTCGGCCCCCGACCTCACGCTCCTCATCGCGCGCATCACTACAATGTTACGCCATTACCGTTCGCCGCGCTCGTCCTGACGACGCTCCTCGTAGACTCCCAAAGACGCGACTGAAGCCGCAAGATCGGTCAGCTAAATAAAAAGAAAAAAGACTTTTTGAAGGATAACCACAGCTCGAAATCTTCGAAATCGTCGAAAGCCTTAACTGTACGAAGTTGAAGAAAGTTTTCAGAAAAACAATCAGAAGAGAAATTTGTTGGATCTCTAAAGAAATATTGAAAAAAGGATACACACGATTTCTTAATTCTTTGAGGAAATGCAAAATTTTTGAGGAAGCTAAATATACAATAAAATTTTTTTTAATTCTTGAAGAAGTTGGAGGAAGATCAGTAAATATTTCGCCCCGTTTTAGCTAGAAGAAATATAAAAAAAGTTGTTTCTTCAGTTTATAAAAAGATTAAAAGAAGAACACAAATAAATATTTTTCTTCATTGTAGCTACAAAAAAAAAATGAAATCTCATTATAGGAAAGAAATATAGAATTTCTGAACAAGTTAAAAAAGATAGATAAGAATGATTTCTCCTCGATAAAACCGAAGGAAGAATGAAAATAAACGTTTCTTTGGCCCTCAATCGATACTTGATGATCTCATCGAGCTTCGAGGATCATCAGATTTGCGTTGTCCTAGTTGCAAGATTGCGGAAAGCAAACTTTAAAAACAATCCTACTTACTTAACGACTGCGCTTCCACGATGACAGCTATTCGAATCGCCGAGCTTCTGAAATTTCACGCGACTTCAAAGTTCAATCTTCAACGTTCCAGAGTTTTCCTGCGAACTTTGCGAAAAATTCCACGATCATTTTTTTTTTTCGATCGTTCGCGTTTATTCGTAAGAGTGATATCATGGTGCGTTCGGGGAGACATAGGGGTTTGATAGTGCCTGGATCGAGCGGGTGAAGGTGATGGATCCCGACCGACATTTTCGCTACTGCCAACGAACGTTAGAGAGGAACTCGTGTTCGTCGACGCACGACGATGCCTTAACATTATTAAGTCCCAGCGTTAGTGAGTGGCTCCTGATGTGAGCTGGCCGGGGCCCAGCGGGGGCCTTGAGGGCGCCCAGGACTCTGAATCGCCGACGGAGTGTAAATATTACACCGCGGGTCTTAGGACGTCCCGCGTGACGATGACGTATATAATATATGGATGCTCCACGGATCGTCTCGGAGATCCGTCGCGGAGTTTTTGGCGCGAGTTTAGCATCCACCTCCTCGAGGTGTTAATAGGATAATGGAGAGGAGGAGAGTTTGTAAATAGGAATCGAGTCTTGTTACCGTTGTAAGAGCGACCTTAGTAAGCTAATTTTAGGGAGAACCTTGAAAGTGCGCACGTCTTTCGTCTCTGCACGATATAGTCCCCCGCACCTCCGACATCCGGAACTATTGTCTGTGATGGCTTGATCTTGGAGATATTTTTCGTAGCACCGCGACGGCCGTAATGACGATGGCCGCGAGCCTTCCTGCAGGGACGATCGGTGGATGCTTACCATCTGGATGTCAGTCGACTGCTCGCTTTGTGCAAAACATTCGCAAATTTCAACTTGGCGAAGGAACTTGTGGAAAGGGCGGAAAAAATTGAGAGTTATACAAATACTTTTCTCATCAAAATTACTCTCAAGAATTGTTCTCGGTTCATATTATTTTTTAAGTTATTGGAAATAACTTTAAATAATTATTGGACAGATATTTTAGATAAATGCTTAATTTTCGGCATAAAATATCATGATTCATATGTCAATAGAATAAAATTTTAAAAAATAGTTGTTTTAGTCTTTACATGTTTTATATACATACATATGTGAATCGGTATTTTAACGATATATATAAAGACATCTTAAATACGACAAAGTTTTACCTTAAATGTTTTTGAGTTTGAACTATTATGCAGATTTTATAAATTATAAAATACAATTTGTTATGTTTGAATAATTATTTAAAATAGAAAGGAAACAGAATGTATTACGGAATTAATATGTTAAAGAGCATGACATATAAAATTTTTTACATTTTTGATACTACCGTTTTAACATAAGTAACGTAATTGCTTTTATATAAATATTATTAATATAAAAGGATTGTAAAATTATATTTCGATAAATATATTTAATTTTATAATGTGATTGAAAAGATAATTTTATTAATTTAATTTCATGTAATAATGCAAGCTTTTATTAGCTCAATCAGAATTTAATTTAATTACTTCGTTATTTTAACAATTCCAATTTTTTAACAAAAATGAATTTTATATTTTATCATAATATTATTTATTTAACTACATTCTATATAGAATTCGTTAGGCATATAAGATCCAGTCTTGACCGCGGAAAGACCGCTCTCAAATGTAGTTGTGTTTTTCACACAGGTGGTCGTATTCAAATTATAATTATTATTATTTATTTAATTAGAATATTACAATCTTGATATTAATAATCAATGCAATCACATGTGATGTTCTAACATCGAGATTTATATGTTACATGACACTTTAAAATTTTTTATTCTATAATACACGAAATTATAATATATTTTAAAATAAAACCGATTTTTTTTATGTTTCGATATACATATATATATAACGTCGAATATCGTGAAATTCTAGCGTACGACAAAATATGGGATACGTGCAATTTTGCGAGAGATAATTGAGACATCCGGTTGACATCCAGATGATTGACTTTTCATCGAGGATAGGAGGGAAGGGGAGGTCCGAGGCAGAGGAGGCGGAAGGAAAGTGTTAACGATTTAAGGCGAAACGAATCAATTTTTTATAACGGCGTGAGAGAGAGCGAGAGAAAGATAGCGAGAGAAAGGGAGACACGAATATCAGAATTCTTGATCAATTTCGAAGTCTGTAAATATATATATTTACGACAGCGGCGTGAGAGGGAATGTGAGGGAATAGAAGAGGCGGGTGTGTGGAAGAGGCAGTTACGCGAGACAGGTTCGCGCGAGCTAATTCGATGATTCTGTTCCGGGGATTGAAACCGTGTTACACGGGGGGTAAAAGGGAGAGGGAGGGAGCCCGATGTTAACATTTTGTAAAAATGAAAGCGCCATTTCTACGTGTAAAAACGCGCGGAAATTCATACCGGTTTTAATCCCTATTTTATTTCGTTCATCACATGTGTACATATACGCGCGCTTATTCCATTTCATTATAAAGATTGCTTTGAAATTAATTTCGCACAAATCTGTGAAGAGTTATGCTTAGAATTTTATTATATACGATTCGTCGATTCGGACAAAAGTGCAAGTGCTCGTGTTTACGTCTTATTCGGTAATTATTGCTTTAAAGTCTTTAAACGACAAAAGAATTTCGAAGAAATAATACATTGAAAAGTGCTAAAATACAACACAGATAAAGTAAATTTGCAACTGAAATTATTGAGGGAGAAAATTTTCTCACACACATACACACACGCGCACGTTTATCTTCTTCCATAACATTTCTATATATGTACGAATTATTGTCAGTTTGTTCTTTCAGCCTCGTAATCCTTGTACCTTCTTTTTTTCCAAACCAGTTGGAAGGACTGTGCAACAACGCGTCTGCCGTGTCGCTTCGCTATTTGCATTTCGCCGAGCGACATTACATTAGCATAACACGTATAATACGCGTGCGGGATGCGAAACGTAACTCTTAAACGGGAACGTCATTTGCAAGCATCATCATACCGATTACTATTATGATTGTCATTGCTATATTGCTCCAAGCATTTAATCCAAGCTATGGAAACTTTGTGATATATACGATTCGACGATCGCATTCATAGAAACGAGGAGAGGGGATGAGGGAGGGGGTGGAGGAGAGAGAAAGTTGTGTGTGTGTGTGTGTGTGCGCATGGTGTGTGTGCGTGTGTGCAGTGTATGTACGTGTATGCATGCGCGCGCGCGCGCGTGTGTCGCGGGGTGACCCACCGCCCTATTAAACTTTTTTTCGGATTATATATATAAATATTATAAATATAAACGTATACATACGCGAGGTTAAGGTGGATCGTCGATGATGAGCAACGTATTGTTATTATTGTAAATGTGTTATATACAGCTAATAGCATTCACAGACACACACGACACACACACACACACACACACACACACACACACACACACAACACAGACACGATATATATAAAGTACATATAAACAATCGTATATACACGTATACACACGTACACACATACATACACACACGATGATGGAGATAAATAAATTGAGAACTTTCGATAATTCCATACCGATCACGGCGAGGTGGAATGTCTCGCCTTCCCTCGCGGAGGCGAGAGAAGAAGAGTTGGGAGAGGGAAAGAGGGGAAAAAAGAGGGTAGTTTCATCCCGATTGTGGTTGTTGTAGAAGACAAAAATCACGGGCAAATTGCGCGATCGAACAAGCCTTTTGTACAATTGATTTCATGTATCTTACAAAGGTTTGAATTTGTTATGTGAAATATTCCAAGAATTGCTCGATGTCTCTATCAATTGTAGAAGTCAAATTAAGAAAAAAACGGCATATTTTTAAGAAATTGTCTCTAATAATATTTTATAGAGTTTTTAAAAATTCAATAGTCTTAATAATTTTTTAATTATGAATAAGTAAGAATGGAAGAAGGTGGGATTTTAAGGAATTACGTTTTTGAATAATAGAATCGTGTTGCTCTCCAATTTTTTTTTTTATTGAATCTTGACTTGGCATGCAGTTTACAAAATACCGAAAGTTGAAAATTCAAAAGGTGCAATGGTGATATCAAACGAAAGATTGGCCTTTGTAAATAATAGAATGATATTTTATTTATCCGAGAGAGAGAGAGAGAGAGAGAAAGCGAAAGAAAGAGAGAGAGCCATTGTAAATGTTTAATCATTCGAAAATTTAGAAATTGGAATATTTTTGGAAATAGATTTACGCATTTGTATATGTTTTTTTTTCATTTACTTATTAAACTTTTTGTTTTTATTTACGAAAAATCTTATGCTCGTCTAAAGCTTACATATTGCGATACTTTGTATAATTATTAAAAGTTCAATTATTATTCTTTATTTTATAATTTTTTTATTACGCAGGGAACGCGTTTTTGCATTTATAAAATGCAAAATTAATATATTACATAAGCTTTTTATTTAATTTATATTCTTTTTAAGGATGAAGCAGAGAAATTATTTTGGTAAAGTACACAGATCTTCGATCGCGCGGTTGACTTGTAATTTTTGCGATGCGGCAAATCACCGGCCCTTTGTAAATAAACGTATGCGTCAAAAATGGACCAAGGATCTACATAGTGCAGCTCGTGCGTGTAAAATTGATCGGCAGGTAGAATTGTAAGTAAAAAGCTACAATTAATCCTAATTACTAGAGCCCCGCAAAAGATAGGCGAATTCGGAAGGGGAATTCGCGGAGACTCTCTTCTGCGAAATGAGAATCTTAATTTTCGAAGTCGAGAACCGATTAAAACGCTTGACCGAACCGTCTTTGAGTAAACATTCTTTTCAAGATTCTATTGAAGTTGACTATAAAGTAATAAACATACCGTTTTTTCGGTAGTAATTTTTCATCCTTTTGTCTTCCATTTCAATTTATAAAACAATGCTTCAACTGGTCCATTCGGACAATTGGGAGCCTTTTTGTACGTGTTTCCAATGCTCTATTAACACAGTGTATGACCATTCAGTAAAATATAGTCCGTTAAATGACAAAATGTTTTTGAATGCTCCTCTATTTCTGAATATTTCTATGAATGCAGACGACTAAAATAATATGAACTGCGAAACTATTAATTGAGAATGTGAAGCGAACTTCATAATTTTAAAACGCTTGCAAAATTTTGTGGAAATTTGCGTTCTGACAAGCGTGGTGAGCACGAGAAAGTTATGTTTTCGTATCGAGTCCGTTACTTCGACGATCAGTGATTCAATTTCGCAGAATGGATTTCCGTGTCTCACTTCCTCAAAATTCGCTTAATTTTTGCGGTATAAATAAAAAAACGGGCGTCGGCGCGGCGGCGCCGGCTTGTAATTAATTAATTAAGGCTCTTGCGCCTCTTTTATATAAATATTATACATATATATATGTATATTATATACGACTTAAAAAAAAAGAACATTCCACCACGGCCGCGCGGTATTATTTTTCTGTATCCCTGTATCTATAAAAGCGCGATATAAGTATTAAGGACGGACTCTAAGGGAATATACGACTGTATTAATTAAAAGGATTGATCAACTTATTATTATTATTAAATCACCATCATCATCATTATCGTCATCATCATCATTATTATTATGATTGCCATTGTTAATATCATTACGCACAATAATTACCTTGCCCTCGGTTCTCACTAATAATCATCCGGTGCCCTTCGATTATTATTAATAATCATAACATTACATTGTACTTGTCGCTGTTATATACATACACATATAAATATATAAATATATAAATATATATAAATATATAAATATATATATACGAATGATATATATATTAATTTAATAACAATAAAGAAAAACGTGAAACACACGTGATCTAATTTGTGTGTGAGTGTGTGTGTGTGGATCAATGATCCTTTCTACAAGCATTAACATCGACGAACGTTCGATTCGTGTTAATTATTATGCATACAATACATTTTTCCATTAATTCGTTTTTGATTGATTTTATCCGATACGTTTTTATTTCTAAAACTTTGTCTAGAAACGCTCTTTTTTTAATTTTTGCTTGACTCAGAATTAATGTGTGTTAGGGCTTATTGCTCCATTGTCGCAAAATCCCCATCTATGGAATTTTTCTTTTTAATACTCGCTCACTCGTAATAAGTCCCCACGACGAGGCCCATCGCAGCAAATTCTGCAGTCTCGATGACGTAAGTCGAGAATGTGTCTCTCTCAACGTCCCATAATTTGCCAAAATCCATTCGCACGCTTTGCCCTAACTTCTGGACGATCGACATGATAACTACGATTTTGTATCTAGAAGCAGCAGTAAGATGAGCTGAAACAGTTTTCCGGATAAAAAGTGAATTCTTTACACAAATAAATAATAAACATTTTAAATGCACACGCTTTCATAAAATTACAATATATTATTAGCTCCACACTAGTCGGAAGTCAAAATATGAATTATACGATATATAATACGAATTATTAATTATCCTGAATCATTTAATTCAGTGTTGCATCAGAAACTGCAGCAGAAATGTTTGAGTTTAATTAAATATTTAATTAAATAAACTGGAAAATGTATGTAAATTGACGCAAAAATATTATCACGCACCAAGATTTACTTTGATCGAATAAGCTTATTTCTATTATTAGTTGTGTATTCACATATCGATTTCATTAATTATTTTTTAATTTAAAAGATTGTAAATTTTTTGAAAAAAATTTACTATCTTTTGGAAAATTTTATTTGTAAGTATTCAAAACGCTTATTGTGTGACTAATATATTTGTTTAAATGACCGACGTATTACCGATCGTAAAACTTTTTGCAAATTTTGTCACGCACTTCCTCCGATATTCTCTGGCAGAGTTGCATGCAAACCTGAGGATGATATTTCACACCGGTTAGGTAATCTTGCATCACGTCGATTAAGATCATATCAATGACTTCGCTCTTGAGAGGCTTGCAGGCCTCCAGACGGTAAGTATTTTGGAACCTCGGAGTCTGGAAGATAATTTCCGTACATTTTGATTTAAAATATTACGTATATATATAATATGTAATTTATTCTACCTCTATAATTAATAAAATCTACGGTCATTTTTATCAATTGTAGAAACTAAATTAAGAAAAATAGCATTTTTAAAGAATTGTCTTTAATAATATTTTATAGAGTTTGTAATCAATTCAATAGCTTTAATAATTTTTGAATTATAGGCAAGTAAGAATGGAAAGAGATTGAATTATATTTCAAATAATAGGATCGTGTTGCCCTCAAATCTTTTTTAAATTTTGACTTGTCGTGCATTTTCCAACATACTAAAAGTTGAAAATTTAAAAAATGTAGTGGTGAAAGATTGTCTTTCTTTTGTAAATATTAGTATTTTCAATGCTATTCCTAGAATCTTTTTTTATTTGGGTTAACAGTTTTTGGGGGTTATAAATTTTTATAAATTATTGCGTGAAAGTTTCATCTAATTTCATCTGAATTACAGGTAATTTTTATGCGAAATACCTTCAAGCTACTCTTACGGGCCAATAGGGTCGATTTTCGTATCTTACTAAGAGACAGGTTATTAATATAGGTTTTGGAGCGAACGGCTCTTCCGAGTATAGACCACGCTCTCGACATGGATCGTTGCGCTGACAATTAATATTACATTCAATTATTATGTCCATTTATTGTTGTTATTTGCGTCAAATCAATTATTATAATAATTATCATTAATTCTAAAAAGAATCTATTCCAATCTTTTAAGCCATTATATATTAATTAAATTACTTACTCGTGCTCATGTTTGTTGAAAACTATTTTATACAAAAAAATAAAATAATTGTTAAAAATTAAAACAATTTTTAAAAAATCGTGTATATTGCATATCAAACAGCAATTAATATGACTTCCAAAAATTCCATTTAGTTCCTTAACTACAATCCCCTTGAAATTGTCGCATTTATTCTTGTTCTCGTTGTTCCATAATTTCCCTATTTAACTAACTTCCCAGATAGCTGAATCTGTCAAATACAGCTAGATTTTGCAATGTATCTACTATAAATTTTATTTGATACTAGATAACAGTCTGTAATAACTTATTGGAAGGCGTATGATAGTGCTCTCACCTCAAGTTCATTTATCAATAATTTTTAATATAAATTTTAGTCTTTTAATGTCTTTTATATAAATTTTTGTCTTTTATAAGTTATTTATTTATAATGAAAAATAAATTTTTTTTATTTTTCTGAATACTTAAGATGGATGAGAGGGAAAAAGATATTTTAATGTGAAGGTTAGCAAAAAAAAATGTTATATACAAAAGGAATAAATGACATTTCTTTATCGGTTATATGTAAGCATCATATTTTCGGTTATTATGATTCATTTGATCGTTATCTGACACTTGCGCACATTATTGATTTTACATACCAGATACAAGATTCTTAATATGTCACTTGGCCTTAATAATTTTTCTAAATAATTACGGGATGTGACTACTTCGAATTTTTCAAACAACTGTTATACGATGTATACTGTGCGAGGTACTGACTGCTTACATATTATTGTCATAGTCTCCGTTCAACGCATATAACTCCGTTTTTGATAGTTGTGTATTTATTTTTTAACTACGTTTTATTTGATTATTTATACGATGGTTTAATTATGTTTTATTGGATTACTGTACAAATGATTGACTACATACATAATGTGTAGGATTTATCGATTGAAATTAATTAGTAATGCGATTGAGAAAATCCAGTAAGGATTGATTAATACTAATTTCGTTTTTATGCTAGAAAAATAATTAATAAAGTATTTTTGATGTCTTGTTAACTTGCTCGTTTTTGGCAGTTAATTTTTATAATTTATTTTATTTACAATAACAAGTCGAATTTTAATTTTGGATAAAATAAATAAATGTATTTAAATAGTGACATAGTTTACAAATTGTTTACTTAAATTTAAAGTTGAATAAAAAATATTATTTTGATAATTGTTTAACTCAAAATTGAGTAATTGACTAACAATAAGCAAAAACAAAAGTATAAAAGAGGGTATGCAAAATTAAGATTTTCGGAACTGCAAGGCGATCAAATAAATCGTATGTATTTTTACGTACTTTGAGTCATAGAATCCGAAAATAACTATGAAAATTATCTATAGCGAGGAAAACGTGAAAAATGAAGAAAAATTGGAAAAAGCGGAATCATTAAAACACGCGGATGTAATTTTCTTACGTTTACTTTTATGTTTATTATCCCGACACGATCTATAAATACATTGTTCCTATACAGCCGTAACAGATAAACGCAAATCTTTTACGTGTTATGTTATATTTTGAATTAAACAAACAATTTGCATTGATAGTTGTTCTAGATTTGCCACAAAAATCAAGATTGTCATAAAATACGTCTCTTATATAGCTTCTTTTTATTGAAATCATCTTTTTCTTTTAACAAAATTAGATTTATGTCATGCTCCGGAATCACATGCAGCAAACTTAAGTCATCTTTTGGAAAGCTAATATTACTTGACTCTACATCGGGAAGAAGAATTTTGCAACGATGATTATTATGCTGCTGCGCATTCGTGTCTGCAGATTTATGTTGCAACAGTTTTATTTCAAGTATCTTCAAGTTTTAAGTAACGGAATAATTTTACATAAGAAAAATTTTAAGATACTGCTAAATATAATGTTTTCGGTTATTGATCTTTGTAATTTTGGGTAAATATATCGATGAAGGGAG